AGGGCTGAGGGGCAGGGCTGGCGGTCAGGGCTGGGCTGGGCTGGCTTGAGCCTTTCCTGCTTGGCCTGCGGAGGCTGCAGGCTGTGGGGTGCCGCTGGGCGGGCTCTGTCCCGGTTCCTTTGTGGCTCACCCCAGGCCTGGCCCTCCCTCTGGATGCTGGCCTTGGAGGTGGTGTCCGTGTGTGTGTGTGTGTGTGTGTGTGTGTGTGTCCGTGTGTGTGTGTGTCCGTGTGTGTGTGTGTCCGTGTGTGTGTGTGTATGTGTATATGCGCGCACGCGTGTGTAGGTGTTCATGGCTGCTGCTTGGTGGGCTGCCGTCAGCTTTCTGGGGGGAGGGGGACACACAGTGCTATGCCCCCCAAGTGTTATGGCGGGGTGGGGGCCGTTCCTGGGCAGGAAGGGCCCTACTCCTGTTGAGGCCCTACTCCTGGTGAGAGCCCAGGTGCCCCAGGAAGATGAGGCCACGTCCACTGGGCCCTCCCCATCCTTGAAGGCCTTTTTATACGACCTCGTTCGTCCTGCCCTGACCTCTAGTCCCACCACCTGGCTGAACCCTCGTGTTCCGCCCAGACAGTCTCAAACCTTCCAGGGATCCAGCCCCTCAGAACCCTGACCCTCACATGGCCTGGATGACCCAGCAGCCTCCTGCTGGTCCCCCTCCCCACCCTCCAACTGCAGCCAGAGGTGCCCTGTGTTGTGTCCCGTCCTCAGCTGCTTGAGGCTCCTGTGATCGCGTCACTTCCAAGTCGAGGACTCGCACCCGCATCTGCTTCAGCTGTGGACGGCACGGCGCTGCTGTTCCCACTGCCCCAGTGCCTTTCCAGGCCTCGTCCTGGCTCTGCCGCCTCCTTCCGCCTCGGTGCACGGACCCCGGTCGGGGGGTGGCTCCTGGTGCACTGTCCTTTTAGCTGCTCTCTGTTTCTTCAAGAACGTGTCGCTGTCGGACACACATCTTAACTGTTTGTGTGCTCATTGCTGAGTAGCTGTTTAGACCGTGAGGTCCAGGGAGACAGCAGTTTGTGTCTGTTTGCTCGTTCCCCATCCCCAGCACTTAGGCCAGTGATGGCGAACCTTTTGAGCTCGGCGTGTCAGCATTTTGAAAAACCCTAACTGAACTCTGGTGCCGTGTCACATAGAGAAATTTTTTGATATTTGCAACCATAGTAAAACAAAGACTTCTATTTTTGACATTTATCTTATATATTTAAATGCCATTTAACAAAGAAAAATCAACCAAAAAAATGAGTTCGCGTGTCATAGGTTCGCCGTCACTGACTTAGGACATGCCTGGCGCACAGGGAGCCCTCAGTGAGTGAGTGAATGAAGGACGGATGGGCGGGCGGGGTGATCCGAGTGGAGCTGGCGAGGAGGGGCTGTGAGGGGTGGGTGCAGTGGCCGCTGACCCTGATGCACCCCCAGCCACTTCCACCTGGACCACTGCGGGGCGCTGCCCTACTTCAGCGAGATGGTGGGCTACGACGGGCCCATCTACATGACCCACCCCACCCAGGCCATCTGCCCCATCCTGCTGGAGGACTACCGCAAGATCGCCGTGGACAAGAAGGGCGAGGCCAACTTCTTCACCTCCCAGATGATCAAGGACTGCATGAAGAAGGTGGTGGCCGTGCGCCTCCACCAGACGGTCCAGGTCAGTGTGTCAGGCCTGGGGGCCACCAGGGGGCAGCAGGCGAGAGGGCAGCTGGTGGGCACTCCCGCGTCTGAGCAGGGCGGAGCTCCGGTGTGCTGGCCCGGGAGGCAGGGACTGGATGGAGCTGGGCTGTGGGGTTTGGGCTCCATCTCAGTCACTGCTGTGCGCGCGTCAGGGTCAGACGGAGGGCCGGCAGCAGGCGAGGGCATCAAGTGGGCAGCATTTGTCAGAGACGTTGGGTTTGTCTGTTTCCTTAGAGTCTGGGTTTTGCTTAGTGTTAGGTGCCTAGACATTTTGGGTCATTTTATCCTGTTTGAACCTCTGTCAATGTGAAGTGTGTATGCTTATCTACACTAATAAAAGAGAAACATGGTAATTGGCGTACGACCGCTACCCTTCCCATTGGCTAATCAGCATATCCTTATGCAAATTAACTGTCAGCCAAGATGGCGGCTGGCAGCCAGGCAGCTGGAAGCGAACATGAGG